GCCAGAGAGATCTGCTCCTTGGGGGCGTGGCCTTGGATGCCAGTTGCTTGTTAGGCTGCCAATTTGCATTCAGGATCCACGTAACACCTACCTTACCAGCGGCTCATCATTTCCCTTCTTTTCTGAGATTTTAAAGAATAGGAAAGCACACATCCCTGTTTGTGTCTCTTAAAATGAGAAATAGCCCCTCACTAGCCAGGTTCCCAAATGCACAGTGTGCTTCTGATCCCTTCTACTTCCTGAAGTTTCCACTACCTTGACTTCTATGATCAGTACATCTTGCCTTTCTTTATAGTTTCAGTTATTATTTTCCTTTAGGTCTTTTCATTGAAATACATTTTTCAAAAACTTTTCATTGGGGTAAAATTCATATAAAGCTAACCGTTTTAAAGGGTACAAGTTCAGGGGGATTTGGTGCATTCACGATGCTGTGCAACTACCACCTCTATCCAGTTCCAAAACATTTTCACCACCACAACGGAAGCCCCTGGCCTATTAGACAATCAATGCCCATTTCACCTGCCCCAGTCCTAAGTCTGGTTTCTGTCTCTATGAGTTTACGACTCTGAGTCTTTCATATACATGGAACCGTGCAGTATAGGACCTTTTGTGTCTGCTGCCTTTTTTTTTTTAACAGCATAATATTTTTGAGGCACATCCGTATGTCAATATTTCATTCCTTTTGGTGGTTGAATAATATTCTGCTGGGAAGAAACTTATTCTAAAAGGAAACTTTTCTGTTGCTGCTGGCTTTTCCCTCTGCCCAGAGCAGGCTTCTCCCAGATGTATCCATAGAAATGATTCCTTTAAGTTGCTCAAATAATACATAATACCCTCTCCAGTTCACCCCTGACCAAATAACTCCATGACTACCATAGCCATTCTGCTTGCCCCAGCCCTCCCCGCCTTCCCTCCTGGATTTCTCTGTTTTCAATAACACTACAGAAATCAACTATTTCTTATGCTGATGGCTTTTGTTTCTGTCTCTCCATGCCTCGGGAGCATATGAGTTCCATGCAGGCAAAGGATTTTCACCTGCCTAACTTAGAGATGCAGTGCTTAGCACTCACAGTAAACACTTGGACCCTCAGCGTCCCCTAAATATCTACAAACCAGTCCCTGGAGCCCAGTCACCTTCCATGGCACAGAAAGAGATTTTGCAAATGTGATTAAATCAAGACTCTCCCATGGGGAGAACATCCTGATTTATCCGAGTGGTCTGAGATGTAATCACGAATATCCTTTAAAAAAGGAGACGTGGGGAGATTTGGTGGCATCAGCTGCCCACGTGATGGCTGAATCAAGACGCTACTCTGCTGGCTTTCAAGATAGAAGGGGTCAGGAGGCACAAAATCAGCTCTAGAAGTTGGAAAATGCAAGGAAATTGGAGCCTCTGGAGGGAGCGAAGGCCTGCTGGCTTCTTAGGTGAAGCGTGTAAGACTCATTCCAGAGTGCTGGGCTCCACAACTGCAAGGGCATAAATTCCTGGATTTGTTTTGTTTCTTTTTCTTTTGGTACTGGGAATCGAACTCAGGGTCTTACGCTTGCCAGGCAGACGCTGCGCCACTGAGCTATATCCCCGGCCATAAATTCCTGCTTTAAGCCACTGCATTTGTGGTAATTTGTTGCAGCAACCACCGGAAACTCATACAATGCTCAATAAATGTTTGTTGATCAAACAAGAATTTGAATGTGACTAAAGAAAATACCAGTACTGCTTACGATAAGCAAAAGGTAACTAAGAACACAAGTGCAGTGGAAAATGATGTTGCCAAATTTGAGCTAGCTGGAGAGCTATAGGCTATGAGGCAGCTCTCTCTTTGTTAGGAGGACTTGGGAGTGTTAGAGAGAGTTAGACCCTGGTCACCAAACTGAGACTTTGTTTTTGCTCACTGGACAATGGAATGGTTTGCTTATTTTATCAGTCATTGATGCATAATATTCCAAACTCTCTGGGGCAAGGAGAGACTCTATAGAGATGGCGACATTTGGACCTTGAAGGGGAGTGAATGAGTGGAGGATGAATGGAGAAACAAGAGCAGTGTTTGGCATGGCATTTAAGTTTGTATGCCATCTAAAATCATCAGTGTAGGATGAGCCCTTGTGCTGGCTTCCTGTTGCTGTGACAGAATACCTGAGATAATTTATCAGGAAGAAAGACTTATTTTGGCTCATGCTTTCAGAGGCCTTAGCCCTTGGTTTCAAGGCCCTATTGCTTCCGGTCTGTGACAACACAGTGAGCACATCACAGCAGGGAGCTGTTTACCTTCTGGTGGCCCAAAAACAAAGAGAGAAGAGGGGGAGCTCGAGTCCCAGGATCTCCTTGAGGCCACGCCCCCAATGGCCTAACTTCCTCTCATTGGTCCCCACCTCCTAACGTTTCCACCTCTCCCAAGAGCTCCACAGGGTGGTGCCTGAGCCTTTAGCACATGAGCCCACAGGGGACTTCTGAGATCCAAACTATAGCAGTCCTAGAAGTCCCGAAACATGGCTGTGTGACAGGGAGGAATCAAAGCATGAAGTACTGTGGTCCAGCCTTCAGAGACATCCTCCTGGTGCAGCCTGGAGTCTGGATGGGAGGAAGGAGGGCTGGGGGAGATGGAGGTTGCTGAGGAGGAGGGGAGCCTCGAGTTGCTTTGCCTGTTGCCCAGACTCCTCCTGCCTCAGCTGCTCCTTACATGCTGAGGGCCTAGGGTCTCCTTCACAACCCTCTCCTCTTTTGACCTGCTTTTCCTCAGTGGTGACTTAATCTACACCCTTACTTGCATTATCTTCATGGCTCCTGCATGTCTCTTCTGCTCAGATCTCTCTCCTGATTCAGATTCAGCCCCAGGTGAGGCAGGAATCAGCCCCAGATTCAGCCCCAGGCGAGGCAGGAATCTGTATTCACGGTCTCCTCTTGGGGGGCAGATTCACATGTGTTAGGTTTCAGATTCTCCTGACTCATCAGGAGATGACCATGGGACCTAGGGCCTCAGAAGGGGAAGTCAGAAGACCAGAGAGGTCCTAACTTGAGTAGTTTGGGAAGATGAAGGTACATCAAGGACAAACCCTCCCATGAGCTGAGAATGTAATTAGTTACTGTCCCTGGAGTCAGTGACTCCTGGCCATCATGGCTCATCTAAAGCGGTCTTGGACAACAGTTGTCCTTCCCCCACCCTTCCATCTGCACTTGGACAAAAAGGTCTTTGGGTTGAGCAGGCTGTACCTTAAGCCAGAGAGGCCCAAAAAGGACCTCTCATGGGCAGATAAACTTGACATCTGGGGAAAATCTTCTCTATGAAAAGCAATTTGCTAAGTTCACAGGCTCCAGCCACTGGTCTGGACCCACCAGTTACTTGTGGAGTGGCTACAAGGAGAATTCTCTCTGTCGCTGTTTGTTTATTTCCAAGAGGACCTGAGCTGTCAAAGTTACCTGAGCTGATATATATGAAGTGCTTCGCAGAATCAATAGCAAACAATAAGTGCTCAATAAATGTCATTATTATTGTTGTTTTTATTAGCTCTGTAATCTTTTCCTGAGTGTCAACACTTTCCTCAGTCCAGTTTATGCCATTCCTGTCCTCACAGAGTTTATGCTCTAATAAGAGCAACAAAAAGAGTGGATAAAAATTGTGCCAAGGGTAGGCATGGTGGCACATGCCTGTAATCTCAGCTCTGGAGAGGCTGAGGGCTGAGGTTTGCAAATTCAAGGTCAGTTTGGACAACTTAGTGAGACCCTATCTCAAAGTGAAACTTAAAAAGTGCTGGGGATGCAGCTGAGTGCTAGAATGCCCCTGAGTTCAATACCCTGTTATAATAATAATAATAATAATAATAATAATAATAATAATAATAATAAAAAATGTATCTGGGGAGAGAACTGCATAATGGCAGAAGCTCCATTTTGGGGGCTGGGAACGGCATCGTGGAGGTCCATTGGCACGTGGCCCAGAAGGGGGACTGGAGGAGAAAGGGCAGCACTGGGCACTGCTCCAGCCAGGCAGGAATGGGGAAGGCCGAGCCAGGAGGGGTGTTCACCCATGACAAGGAGCCAGGCGCTGGGTCCTCACCTCTACCACACCCAGCAGCAACCTCGCTGGAAATGTTCCTGCCTGTGACATCACAGCGGGGCTGGTCAATTCCATGAATCCAAGGGCACAGCACCGCCTCCTGCCAGGGCGGTGGAGGAGGAAGCTCCTCTGTGGCTGGCGGCCAGCTGAGCATCTACTGCAGGTTCCCTGTTGGTACCAACTGCAGCCACCCAGGCCCAGCCAGTTGGAAGCCAGCTGTGCCTCTGTCACCCATGCTGGCCCTGGCCCGTGTCAGCCTGGCTTCTGAGCCCACTCCCCAGGGAAGCACCAGCTGGCAGGGGTCATGATGTCCTCCTTTCTGCTGGCTGGGGTGTCTCCTGGGAGTTCCCCAGGAGGGCCCTGGAGGTGGCACATGGGACATGGAGGGCCACTCCAGCCACTGGCAGGGGAGCGGGTTGACCTGGGTGTCCAGTACCCAGGGAGGGGCTGCAGCCCCTCACTTTCACGGAGACGCTTGGGGTCAGACTCCAAATGCAGACCTCTCCCCACCAGGGGGAAGCACAGATCCAGGGAGTTGAGCCTCGCCCTTTTCCACTCAGAATGCCGCCAGCCTCTCCCCTAAAACAGCCAGACACAGTCTGGGTGCAAGGCGATGCACCCAGACTGTGAAGTCCGACCTTGTGGGTTCGAATCCTGATGGACTTACTTCCTGGAGCCGCAGACCTCTTTTGTGGGCTGACCCAGAGGTTGGCATTGTTCTTTCCTTCTGGAAAGATCCAGAAAGGAGGTATTGCGCAGGTTTTGCTGGTTTTGTGATTCTATGTTCTAACCACTCAATTTTGTTCACAAGCACCCATAAATAGTAGGTAGACATGACATGTGGATGTGACTGTGTGCCAATAAAATTTTATTTCTGGATACTGAAGTTTGGACATCATATAATTTTTTCGAGTCACAAAAAACAAATCTTTTTTTTTTTTTTTTTTAAGCTATTTAAAAGTGAAAAAAAAAAACCCATTCTCAGTTCACAAACAAAAACAGGATTTAGCCTGCGGGCCACACAGTTTGCTGTCCCCCAGGCTGATTTGTGTGAGTGCTTAGAACAGTGCCCAGCACTCTGCTCTTGCGCTGATGCTGAGTTCGGAAGTGAGCTGTACGCGGGGGCAGGCCTTTGGGGATGGCAGTAGAAGGGAGGTCTCTGTCCCTCTCTGGTACCAGGGATTGAAACCAAGGCTTTCACTGAACAGCTCCATCCCCAGCCCTTTTTTATATTTTATTTTGAGATAAGGTCTCACTAAGTAGGTAAATTGCCCAGCCTGCTCTCCAACTTTCGACTTTCCTGCCTCAGCCTCCTGGGTTGCTAGGGTCACAGGTGTGCACCGCCATGCCGGGCAGTGGTGCTGGCTGAGCTGGTCGGTGAGAGGAGCAGCTGAGGTCTGGTTCTGAGTACCTGGAGTACCCAGCTATGTCCTTTAAGTGGCCCTTCTCTGCTTGGGAACCACCGTAGGTCCCAGCCCAGTCCAGCCACCTGCCACACCCTACCCCTCCCTCCACTGCACCCCTCCCACACACGCCAGGGCCCTGGGCCGGGTCTGTGCCCGAGGGTGCAGAGGACCCCTTGCCCCAGTGTCAGTGACCCTGGACAGCTTGGGCACCACAGCCGTCCCCCAGGGCTGGCACTTGGCATCAGGCAGTAGCTGTCCAGCCTTGCTACCTAAAGTCACATCCTGTGGCCCCGGGGAGGACAGGGTGTGGCTGGAACCCTGGCTTGGGGCTCTGGAGGTGTCCTTCTCTCTCAACACCCAGCAAAAGCTCACTGGGCCCTCACCGATGGCACCGTTGGAATGGCCTGCAGTCTTCCTCGAGTGGATGTGCTGAGTTAGCCAGGATCTAGCTCATCCTGGCCAGGTGTAGAGCTGGGCAGGACCCAGTGGCTCCACCTGCCCAGGCCCAACCCTGATTTGTCTGTAGCAGGCTTTCAGGGAGTGTCTCCAAAGGCCAGAGCAGAGACAGGAGGACCCCTCTGTGTTTGGGAGACAAGGTCTAAGTCCTTAGACCTCGGCTGCAGTCCTGACTAGATCTCTCTTCCCAGCCCCATCTCATGGCTCGTCCAGCACCTGAGTGTCCGCCAGCTGGCTGGAGAAGGCCCTGGCCAGGTGCAAGGTGTTATATCTGGGCGGCGGCGTGCCGGGCACCTGGACCCCCGGGGCTGGAGGCAGCTGCAGAGCAGAGGTGAAAGTGGGCAGGTCTTCGTCTACATGCAGGGCTGGATGGTCCTGGCCGAGCTGGCCCGGGGGAGCCTCGGGGCAGGGGGGTCCCTGGTTCCGCGCCCACCACTCCTTAGCTTTCTGCCACTGGCGGCGGGCGATGATAGAGAAGAAATCGATGAAGAAGACTTCGATGATCTCGATGACACAGACGACAGAGCAACTCATCCACAGGCCCAGCTGGCCGCCGAAGTTGGAGAGAAGCACCTCGATCTGCAAGGGAGACCACACCACACGGTCGAGGGCGCCGCTCCCCGCAGTGGGCCCCCCGCTTGCAGGGGGGGTCTTGGCCAGCCCCAAAGAGGCCCAGAGAGGAAGCCCACAGGTTGCCCGCCCCCGGCTCTGCTTGCCTTGCCCGGTCTGGCTGGCCTCTAGCAAGCCCCCTGGGTCAGGCTGGACCCCCATGGGCTGACTCTGCTCCCCAGGGGCAGGGAGATGAGTGCATTCACACACAGGTCCCGGCAGGACCCCACTCACGCTGTTGGCTGGGCTCTCCATGATGGATCTCTGGTTCAGGTCTTTGTAGAATATCAAGAGTTTGGCCAAGTCTGTCCTGCAGAAATCCCAACAGGTAAGGAAGGCCCAGGTGGGTCGGGGGCTTCGGCGTTCTGCCAGATAACAGGCCCCTTTGCAGGGCTCTCTTCCTCCCACCCAGGCCTTCAGCACAGCCCAGGCGCTGAGCTCCTCAGGGATATGAGAATCTGGTCTGTGGGCTTCTTCTAGCCCCCAGAGTGCATCTCCACCCTGGGTCTGGTTCTCAGACCATTCATTCATTCAACAGTGAGTGCCTGACCTCCAGGCTAGGTCTGTATACCCAGCCATACTCCCCTAGTATGGTGTTTTCCATAAAGCTTTGTTGCTGGTAATTGTTTGATTACAATCTCAGCTACATACAAGAAGCAGCAGGTAATGTCAATGAACAAGTTAGGCTGATGATAAGGTAGTAGAGGTAATAACCATGGTAGCAGTTAGCATTTATTAGGCACTTCCTGTTTTACCAAGCACTGTTGTAAGAACTTTACATTAACTCACTTAATTCTCGGGGTCAGGGATTTAGCTCAGTTGTTCTCTTGCCTGCCTTGTAAGCGCAAGGTCCTGAGTTCGATCCCCGATACCAAAAACAAAACAAAAAAACCCTCAATTCTCACAACCTCTCAATGAGGTGAGAAGGTATGTTTTAATCATTCCTGCATTGTACAGAGGTGGAAACTGAGACCCAGACTGGTTAAATAACTTGACCACATCTGCACAGCGAATCACTGCTGAGCCAGTGTTCAAATCCACACAGAGCCACCTCTAAGTCCCCAGTCTTCATTGCTGGTCTCTATATCCTTTCCTTATAGAACCGGAAGCTCATCCCAAAGGAGGAGCTACGTCTTCACTGTTTGCTGCTATGCTGGAAGGGAGGTTCCTTATTGCAGGAATCTTTACTCTTTCAGGAAAAGGTGGAAATAATGGGTTACTTTTGTGGTGACAGATTTGGCCCAGGGGATCATTGATCTGCAACACTTGGTTTAATGTTTTGCAAGTGCTTAGTCCAAGCCTAACTCTAGCACGACACTGCAAAGCCCGGGAACAGAGACTGTGACTGCTTAGTCAGCTGGGTCCCCAGCAACTCACCCAGCACCTGGGACCCAGTGGGCACTTGATCAATGCTGGGGGCAAGATTGGCTTCCACTGGGGCAGCCCGGGTACTGGGCACTGGGAGATGGTGACAAATGTGAGTCCCAGGTATGAGTTCACCCTTTCTCACCTGGGAAATGATATTCTTTGTCGAAATGTCAAGTGGGATTAGGAGCTTCAAGGCTAGGAGGAGTATTTTTTCAAATGGGTCACATTATATTAATAAGCCATGAAAGAAATGTACTGGGCAATGACAAGTATCTTTTCCAAGACTAAATGGAATAGTAAGTATCAGAATACATTCGAAAGGATATTCAAAATATTTACCAACTGGGGGGCCAGAGGCGCTAATGAATCAGTGCACTGTGATCAATTGGAATGGAAACACTCAGCTCTCCCCCTTTATCTGTGGGTCCTCAATTTACGTTTTCAACCAATCATGGATAAAATATTTTCAGAAAAAAATTGCATTTGGATTGAACTTGTGGCAGAGCCTTTTTCTTTGTCATTATTCCTTAGACAATGCAGTATCACAACAATTTACCTTGTACTGGGTATTATAAGTCATCTAGAGATGACTTAAATGTAGTGGAGGCTGTGGTAGGTTTTAGGCAAATACTCTGCCGTTTTACATAAGGGACATGGACATCCTAGCTATTTGGTATCCATGGGAGGGGATCCTGGAACTAATCCTCTGAGGATACTGAAAGATGAAACTAAATTGGTTTGTTCCTTCCAAAGTGTAGCATTTGGAAATCAGCCCGAATGCTTTGAATATCATAATGAAACATTGTCGCACACCTTATTTCAATTTTATCTGCAATGGGCTACAGTGTAAAAAGCATTTCATACCATGGGTGAAGGCCAAGCAAGAGTTTGAGCAGGGCCTGGTTCATGATAGGAGCTCAATAAATATTTATTGAATAGATGGTTGAATGAATGAAAAGGAGAGGGTTTGGCAGTGAGGAAACAAGCAGAGAGACTGAGCCCTTGGTAGACAGAGGCAGAGGAAACTGGATGGAGGTGGACTTACTTGTTGAGCTTTTTGTTTATTTGCTGGCCTTGGTCCCAGGTGAGAACGCGTAACAACCACTTCTGTGATGGGGAAAGAAAGAATGGGCCCGGGGTGCCCATCTGCCCTGCCTCCTTGGCCACCCCCCGGGGCCGGAAGGCAGCAAGGACATCAGTGAGGCTCCCAGCTGGGGGACAGAGAGGGGCAGTAGAACTTACCTCTGAAACCTCAGAGGGCCACTGTGCCAGGCTGGTGGTCAGGGTCCATTCCTTAAACCTTAGGAGAGGAGAGGACAGAGCAAGTGTGGGCAGCCTGGCCCTGACCAGCCTGGTCCCCTCCCATCCCTGCCCACCCCAGCCCTCTCCCAGTCTGCCCACCTGCACGTTTCCCGGCACACTGACTGGCAGTCCAGTTCTTCCTGAACGAAGGCTTGGTACAGCTTGTAGTAACAATACACTGAGAGACGTCGGGAAGCAGCATGAGCTTTGGGGCCACTAGGCCCTTCCTGGGGTCCCTGAGTCACCAAGGGGCCCCCATAGTCTTAATTATTTTTCCTCCTACTGCCTACCAACATGGGTTCTCTGGAAACACATACTAGTCTGTGACTTTGGGAAACAGAATACATATTGGTGGTGGTTAGGAACAGGAGTTGGGGTTAGGTAGCCCTTGCTTAGGGCCCACTGGGGTACAGCTCTGTTACTCCCTGGCCAAGCAACTTTGGGAAAATTGCCTAACCTTTCTTGGTTATCTGTCCTACAAAAGGACGCTGTCAACAGCACCCAGACTGGGGTGCAGCAATTGGTCCCCAACTGGGAAATAGCACTTGAGCCAGGTTTGATGACAGAAGTAAGTCTGGTCAACATCTAATACCTCCCTCAAGCAAAAAGGCAATGGGGCAGAGGCACGGGAGCGACTTAGGCCAGGTTGGCACGGACTGGGGGTGCAGGGCGGGGCAGGTTGCACTCACTCCAGTTAGGGTTTTGCTGGTAGTTGCAGTAGTTGGCATTGGGAGGCAGAGGCTGGCTGTACTGGGCACAACCACATTTCTCCACCATCTTGGTCTGGAAGCAGGAGTAAAGGCAGATCTGAAAGAAAAGGCCCAGAGAGGCCCTGAACCCCCTGGCTGCAAGGCCAGAGAGCACCCCTTCCTCTCCCGCCCTCCATGTGCCTTTCTGCACCCGGGCCGGGGGTGGTGCCCCGACTCCAAGGGGCTGAGAATTTACACTGCACTAGGGAGACCGTGTTGAGCCGGGACTGGGATGGACATTTTCTGTCCCGTGAATGCTGACAAAGAATAAATGGGGAAATTGAAGCAGTTGTCGGAACTGAGAAACACAGCCCTCAGTCCAATTTTCAGGTCCAAAACTTCCATCCTGGGTCTTTGAGGATCATGAGCTGTCACATGATGCAGGAAGCTTGTAGCATAAAAGCCAAGGGCAGGAGCTCTGAAGTCGGCCACTCAGACTCACATCCCACATTTGCCACCTACCACCTGTGTGTCCTTAGGCAAGTCACTTCACCTTTCTGATTCGTTGCTTTCCTCATTTTTTTTTTTTAAGGTAATTACACTCAGATCTATTCCAGGAGAAGGATACAAATTACCACCAGGCAAGGCAAAGAATAAAAAAGGCAGAATCGAAGAGAGGCTCTGAGAGAGGGGCTCGGGCCTCCTCTCCCCATGGAGTCATGGTCACTGTTACCTCCGCCCATCCTTAATACTGTGACAACACAGTATCACCGCCAGGAAAGCTCACTGGATGGAACCTGGTGTCTAGCGTTTTTATTGAGATTTCATTATCTAGGCATGATTGGTTTCTTGCTGACACAACCGGTCTCTGTCTGAGTCACCTACCTCATTAGCACCAGCTCTGACACGCGGTCAAAATGCCCACCCTTAGTGACGAAGGCGCCCCTAACAGGAAACATCAGGGATTTAGAGGGCCCCTCTGGGATCTGGGATAAAGGTCAGGCCTTTCTTAGGATGAGGCACAAACTGCCCTTACTACACGAGCAGTTAATATTTTAAAAATCTTCACCCACAATAGTGAATGATTTTAAAAACCTTTTCTTCCCATTCTAGAAATTACAGAGGACATCCCCATGAAGACTCACTGAGTATGTTTCTGTCTTGCCAACGACTGCAGACTGCTAGTCAACATTTCCCTTGGACCTTTTTCCTCTACCTGCAGATCCATGAACATGAAGAAATGTCCTTCAGTCTAATATGCTGCTTTGGCCCAAAACTTCAAATAGGATTGATGAAGTGACTTGAGATCTCATGTAATATTCACACTTAACCCTAAACACCTATGCAGTCATGTTGGGGAAGATTATTACCTCAGCACCATAAAGTTTATTTCTGTACTGGAGTTCATAAAGTAAAGAGAGTAGAATTCACTTAAAAGGCATAATATATGTGAATATTGATTTATGGCCTTTTAAAACTGATTTGAGGGCTGGAAATTTAGCTCTGGTTTCGCTGCCTGCTGCGCAAGCTCAAGGACCCGAGTTTGATCCCTGGTACCAAAAAAAAACCAACAAAAGCTGATTTGAGACCCTTAAAGAAGTGGACATGATATATATTTCTGCTACATGGATTTTCCCAGGTACTTTGATGGAATATTTTATGTTTCAGTAAATCAAACAAGTAAGCAAACTCTCTCAGATACACGTGTGTTGGAAGTGATTCATTCCCCCATTATGTGATGATACCTGAAATTTGCAGTCTTTGAAGAACTAAAGTCTTAACAGTGGTTTCTGAATTAAGATAGTGAGTTACACATCTACTGTCACCTCTTGTCAAAATCATGGGTGACAGTTTGGACCCTCGAAGAAGCAGATACCAAGATACAACTAGACGAGCAAGTGTTTCTTGGAGGACACAAGGGTAAAGGGGAGTGGCACCAGGCATGAGTTGAGAGCCCTTCAGGCTGCAGAGCAGAGGTCTCCACTTCTGGGGCAGCGGATTCTGAGCCTTTCTGCACGCCGGTGCATCTGGCTGGTCCGTGGGGCCTGGGGCTCGCACAGGAGGCTCGAGAAGTGCCCTGCGAGTGTCAATGGGCACCGGGCCTGACCGTGGCCCCACGCTCCCCCCCAGTCCACCCAGGCTGAACTGTCACAGTCCCATCTCCAGGACATCGGGGCCCGCCCTGCTCCTCATCTTTGAAATAAGTACAATACCTGCTCTGTGAGATTATTCTGAGCACGATGAATCAGCCTATTAAAGTGTACCCGGTAGCTTACGGCTCAGTGTTACCCACAGGCACTTTTCCAGTGAGCTTACTTTTTTGGGGGGAGGTGGGGGTCTTAAGGCCTGTTTGACTATTTCTACTTCCTGCAGCCAGAGGGTCTCTAACAGCCCTCTTTCCTCAGTGTGCCCACCACCTCTCAGCTCCATTCTCATGGAAGCTGGAGGACGCCGTGCTGAGGGGCCCAGTCCTTTATTCTGCCAGGATGGTTTCCAGGGACTCTGTGACCCTGGTAGGAGACCAACTCCAGACCCCCAGGGTGTGAGACAAGCCTAAGAGCTCGTCACACATAGGGTGGATAACTCCAGTGTCTACGGGGCCAGCGATGAGCGTGATGCCCTGGTGGGTGGGTGAGCGCCATGGAGACCAGAGGGGCTGCTCCTGCAATGGGGCAGCTTCACCCACCCGTCATCCTGCAGGAATAGGGACCCGGTGCTGCCACCTCTCCTTGCTCTTCCAAAGAGCTGGAAATCTGTATTTTCTTGTGAAATTCCCTGATTTTCAAATGTCCAGGTTAGGAACACCAGGTGTGCAGCCTGCAGGGTCCTGCCAGTGCCAATCAGCCACCCCTGATTGGATCTGACCCTCCCCTGTGACTATGGGGGACACAACTTGCCCAAGGCACCTGTGAGTGAGAGACAGGAGCTGGCCCGGAAGCCAAGCTCCGGGCCCTCAGCCAGTGTCTCCGGGAACGTCTTCCTCCTGCCCTCACTCCACCGGCCAAGGCCCCTTTAGGGAGCGGGCGTCCCGTGGCTGTACATTCAGTTCCACGCGAACCCCCTGAGCCGAGCTCCAGTTACACATGGACTGAACAGGCCGAACAGGACTGGAACCAGCCAGCATCATTTGTTCTTGAGGTCTTTGGACGAACCCCAGGGATCCTCAGGCTAGTTCCTGGTCCCAGCCACACCCTGGCTGAGATGAAACTTTGTACCTTTGCTACAACCCAGGTCTGGACACCCCTGCCACGCCATACCTGGAGGGAGTAGGCAGCGTTGTAGATGTTCTCCACCGGCACGTCGTGCCCGTCCTCTGTGCACTGGCTGTAGGGCTCACTCAGCTTGAAGGACTCGGTCTGCAATCAGAGCAGCACAGTCAGCCTCGTCCTCCTGGGGGGCCCAGCTGGGGAGGGACCCCTGGAATTCGAGTGGCCACTTTTCATTCATTTAACAAAAATGTATTCAACACTGACTAGGTGCCCATGCCTTTCCAGACAGCATGGAATCCACCACTATCAAGACAGACAGTACCCTCTCTGCCACATGGGGCTGACATTCCAGAAGGGTAGACAGACAGGTGGGCAAAAGCCATAAATAATTCCATGATTTTGAATAATGATCAATGAAACTGATAGGGAGACTGGAAGGCTTGGGAAGAGGGAAGCCGTCAGTCCCAGAGGGACTAGGGAAGGTGCCTCTGAGATAGGAACCTTTGTCATGTTGTTGGCTCAGTGTGGAATGGCAAAAAGGAGATGTCCTTGTCAAGAAACAGGAGAAGAGAGCCAGGTGCTATGTTTTAGTGGAGTGCAGTGACACACACCTGTGATCCCAGCAGTCTGGGAGGCTGAAGCAGGAAGATCACACGTTCCAGCCTAGCCTGCGCAACTTAGCAACTTAGAGAGACCTTGTCTCAAAATAAAAAATAAAAATAGAAAATTAGCCCAGTATGACAGCTCTGGGTTCAATGTCTGGTACTGCAAAACTAAAAGAAAAAAGAAAAAAGAAATGAGCTGAGAGAACTGGACAGAGGTTACTGCCCAGACTCAGGAGGAGCCAGTGTGTCTGGAACATGCAAGGTAGAAACCGAGGGAGATGAAGTCAGCGTGAGAGGCGGAGGTCAAAGCCGCCCTGTTGAGAAGTCAGGATTTGGCTTTTTGAAAGCCAGTGCACTGCTGGTGAGTCCACCACAGGGAGGATTGAAAGATGAGCTGCTGGACTCCTGTCTGTCCACCTCAGCTACCCATTTCCCTGCCTTCTGGCTCCAGATGTTGACTTGGAAAAGGTTGATTTTCTGAGAAAGGACTAAGGAAAAGCCAGCAGAGCGAAATGATCACATGGCCATCAGAGGGAAAGCATTGCCAGTCAGAGTTGGAGAACATTATTCAACTATGTTTGATTGTGGTTCAGTCAGCTGATTCTAGCTTAATATTTGTCACTGCAGAGAAACAATTCAGACAAGCTAAACAGGCAAAAAAAGGTGGGATATAACATCCGCGTAAAAATTGAACATAAATTGTGACCGGCTGATATTGAGGGTCCAGGGTTTGTGCATGTTGTGTTCTTTTGTTTTGTTTTTTGAGACATGGTCTTGTTATGTAGTTTAGATTGGCCTCAAACTTGTGATCCTCCTGCCTCAGCCTCCTGAGTACTGGGATTACAGGCGTGCACCACCACACCCACTAGCTTTTTTCTTTTTAAAGGAAAAAAGTAAGTAAGGGTAAAGGGGAAGAGGATGGGAGATTTGTAGGAGGGCAGAAAAGTTCTTCTTGAGAGAAAGAAGGCATGAAGGGGCTTGATAGGTAGACAGTTTGGACTGGTCCAGCGGCTGTCTTCTGTCTATACCATAATTCAGCCACTGAGCCAGAAATCTCCCTCAGTGAACTGCAAGTTCCTCAAGGGCAATAGACAGTGCTCATTTTGAAATGTTTAAACAACAGATGCAAACCGAGGGGCGGGGAGCCTCTCCTCTTCCCGGGTACCCTCTGTCTCAGAAGCCCTTCCCCTTCGACAGGCACCGCTCACCTGGCCCTGCCCTCTGCTCGTCTCACTGACAGTGAAGAGAGAGGTTCTCTCCAGGTTGCTACAAAACAAGTGGACTCAGTAGCTGGGTAGCAAACCCTTTCCGAGCTTCTAGTGCTTGCAGGGCTGGGCTGGAACTGAGGTGCAGGAGTGCTGATCGTGGCTCCCCCAGGGCTCCCCAACTCCCTGACATCTCCTCAGCTGCCCCAGCAGTGATGTTCCTTGGGCCCTAAGTCCTGCCGAGCTGTCCACAGAGCCTGGAGTCTGCTGTGGGCTCTACAGCACCCTGTCCTCCAGGCACCGGTACCTGGATGTGCACACAGGCCGGGTGTGGCTGGCAGAACAGGCAGGGACTCTGTTTACCTTGGTCCTATCTGCTTCCATCTGAGGATCTAGGTAGGGGACAGGGACAGTTGCACGGGGATCTTTCGCTCTCCTCTTACAGGTAGAAAGTACTCCCAGGGGAAAGCCTAGAGCACAGCCAGGAGGCAGGGCAGGTCGTAAAGGGGTGGGTGGCCTTTATCATGCTCTCATGGCTTCTGAGGTTGGGCAGCCACCTCCTGCTTTCTTACAACACGGAGAGCCACCCACCAGCCTGATGGCTCCCTCACGCATGAGGAGGTGAGCTCAGCCGGGCTCCTCCTCCCAGAGAGGCAGCTGTCACACTGTCATTTTTGCATTTCTGTTGTCACCACTGTCCCACCCAGTAGAGGCCATAGTCGCTTTCTCAGAGTTCGCCTCACTGTATCCCAAGCTGTGTTCCACTTGCGTTCTGTTTTGGGGTGCGTCTCAGTGGGCTGAGCATGCTGGTGTCCTTGGCTCAACCAGAACAGTCCTGCATTTCCTGGTTTCCACTTCGTACATTTCTGGGTGAGATTTCTATTGAGTGAAAGACTCTACCCTTAGCAAAAAGAGCGCTCCTGTTCCCCTCAGCGATGGAGAGCATGACTGAGATGTCTGCTGACCTCAGCAAAAGGCCAAAAATGGCACCCTGAGCTACTGGGGCAGTGGAAACCCCGTCTGGCTCTGAGTATAGGTGGAGGCCCTTTCTTTCCCTTGGTGGCCCTGTCCTGCCCTTGTTTCTCAAAATGGGCTGCTACTTCTGCCAGGGAGGTCAGCAGTGACGGTGGGAATGGAGCAGGCGGATGGTTCCCTTGTCTTCTCAGACACTGCCCACACGAGCCCAGCCCCTGTGGGTACACCACAGACTGCAAGCTGATCAATGACTTTGGAAGCCACTTGGCTTAGAGTGGTTTGTGTACAGCAAAAACTGACATGATATCTAAAACTGAACTCAGTGTCTTCACTCACCTAACACCTGCTCAGTCTCCTGCCTGTGTTTCTCACGTTAGCTAATGACACCCCAGCCTGTCTAGTTGTCTAGAACCTGACCATCCATCCAGAGCTTCTCTTCTTCCTCAAAGTCAACAAGGAATCCCTCAGAAGCATTTCTTGAGTCACTTGGCTTTTACTTCTGGTTCTTGCTCACTGCCTGGTTTGACTGTCATCCTCTCTTACTGCTTGGAAGATGGAGAGTCTGGTCCTTGGCCGCCTGCACTTTCCCTTGCTCAGCGTCTCCTCCACCCTCATTGCTCAGCCTGAATCATCTGAATCACAGATCTGGCCCTGTCACTGCTCCTCACGGCCTGGTGATTCAAGCCCAAAGGCATCAGCATGTGACAGGCAGGATTGGGAAGTAGGAGCCTGGGGGAAAAGCAGCAGGCAGCTACAACTTTTGGCAATAAGAGGGGAAAAGTAAATCAGGCTGGTCATGAAGCAAACAAGCCACTGTATTCCTTAGATCAGAAAGTGGGACCCCAGGGCAAACTGAAGCAGGTGCAAGCAAAGATAGTAACAGACCAGACTGGGAACTGACCCTAAATTCATTTTACCTTCAGCATAATGTTTTCCTAGTAAGATCTCCTAGTAAGATCATAATGTTTTTCCTGGGAAGATTTCCTAGCAGAAGGGAGAAAATAAAACATTTCTAAGCACATCTTTAATGTGTGCACAGGTCTATTCTTTCTTCCTAGAAGTCCCCACCCTTCCTGAAAAGGCACAAATAATTTATGACATTCCTTTGAGACCCTACTGGCTTTAGACTAGTCAGCTTTGCTGTCCTTAACCAAGCTACTCTACCAATGGGGTAGCCTGCTGTACTTCTCTTCTGTAATAAACTTCCTTTCTATTTTTGCTTTAGAACTGGTCCAGTTATGATTTCCATTTTACGTGAGGCGGCTGCCCCATTCTAGCTGGTGACAAGCCCAGCCTACAAAATGTCCCCCAGCTAGCGTCAGTCTACTTTTCAAGTTCTACCTCTTACTTGATTCATTGGTACAATACATCTTGACTCATCTGTTGCTTCATTCCAACAAATACAGTCCTAATTCAACAGTGGGAGTTCCTGTGTTCCAGGGAAAATAGGCAGTGGACATGCAATGGAAAGTAGACAGTGAGCCTGCTACACTCACGTTTTCAATCATAGATCAAAAATATTAAAAACTGTATTTCTATTGCACATGTACGACTCTTTTCATGTTGTAATGCTATTTACATAGCATTAGGTATTAAAAGTAATCTAGGGCCAGGGATTTAGCTCAGTGGTTTCACCACCTGCCTCTCAAGTGCAAGGTCCCGAGTTCGATCCCTGGTACCACACACACACACACACACACACACACACAAAAGTAATCTAGACATGGTTTGAGGTATATGGGTGGATATGTGCAAATTACATGCAAATACCACCTCTTTATATAAGGGACCTGGTGAGCACCCACAGATTCACCCAACTGCAAATAGAAGAATAATTGGAAAGAAAATTACATCTGTACTAAACATGCATAGACTTTTTTTCTTGTCATTTCCTCCTAACCAATAAGGCTTAACAGCTGTTTTCATAGCATGTATATGACATTAGGTATCATAGGAGAATATATGCAAATACAAACACTTCATAGAAGGGACTGGAGCATTTGTGGGTTTTGGTGTTCACAGCTGTCCCGTAGTCAATTCTCCCTCCAATACCAAAGGACAATTATACGTTTTAGGTATTTGGTATAAGAGGATGAACTCTACATTTATACAATAAAGTTGTACATTGCCATTAAAATTGGTGTGGTGGAAGACTAATGCCATGGAAAGATGTTAATGATACATTTTAATGAGGAAATAAAGGCAGGTTGCAGAAGTAGGTTGTTTCATAACGAAACAAGTAAATTTAAAAATTAGGAAAGAGTGGAAAGACTTTGCCTTACATGGGTTTATGAGTGGTTTAACTCTTCTTTTTCTTTCTTTTGTTTTTATTTTGTAACATATTATAAATGCTATTTGTGTACAATAAAGTTTGCACTCCTTAGCCTGCTGGGAATAAAAGAATTACCTCTATATAGTTAGGACAATTTATTAAGTATTTAAAGGAAGAAATAAATCTCTATTTTACATTCTGCAGGAATCTAAGGGGTTAAAGTATTAAATGGAATAATATGACAACTGAAAGAAAACTCAACTCAGTATCTGATCTCAAGGAGGGCAAATCTTCAATAAACATAATAACTAAAGAAGAAACAAGTTTGGACCCAACCTGGGCAACACAGCCCATTAGCGAAAAACTGTCCTGAAATGTTTTAGAAAGGTTTTTAAAAAAGGGGCTGGTATGGTAGCTCAGTGCAAAGGGCTTTGAGATAAAAATGTCCAGAACGGTCTGCAAGGCCAGCAGAATCTCCCCCTTCTCTGTGAATTGGCCCCACAGCCCCTGGGGTGAATGGTCCACCATTGTTCACGTGTCATCTCCCATTCCCCATTCAGCGCTTTGTAGTCTGGTTTCTGTTTCACTCCTTCCCCTGGGGACTACTATGGCAAAGAACACCAATGACACTGTGGTCACCATACTCAGGACTCCTTCCACCCTTGATCTTGCTAGACCTCTCAACTGCACTTTCACTGCGGTCACACCTTCCTCGAAAGTCCCTTTTTGGGGAGGGCAAAGTTTTGAGACCGTGTCTCACTAGGTAGCCCAGGCTGGCCTCAAACACGTAGCGATCTTCCTGCCTCAGCCTCCCGAGTGCTGGGATACAGGTGTGCGCCATCATGCCTGGCTCCCGAAAGTCTGTTCTTGATTTATCTGACACCAACTCTTTCTAGCTTCTGCTCCTCTTTCTCAGCCTCTGCTTCTCCATTTTCTTTCTGCTCAGCCCCTAAACATTTGGAGATGCTTATGGTTTTGTTTCAGGTCTTAGATGATGACATTCATGTCCAAGTCTAGAATTACCTCCCATATTTTCTCCTGAGCTCAGAGCACTTACTTACTGGACATTTTATTTTCACCTTGTTTTTAAAAAGGCACACCAACTGGGTATGTCCTGCACTGAAGCGGTCATCTTCTCCCTCAAGCATACCCCTCTTCTTGTATCCCCTAGTTCTGAGCCCTCATTCACCCCATTGCCCAAGCTAAGACTTAAATATCCACCTACATTCCCCTGGCTCTTCTTGCTAATAACTGGTTGTCCAGCCTGTTGTTTCTATACTGTAATGTGTCTCCAAAGTCCATTTCCTTCTACTCATCCCCCTTTTGCCTCAACATAGGTCTATATTATTTCTTTCTAGAATTACTACAAATGTGCTAGTGTATTGATTACACTTCAGCCAAAGTGAGTTTTCAAAGGATGGCTTAACATAGTTTCTGTGGCCCTTCAGTAATTGCTACATGGTTTTCATGACAAGCCCTTCCTAACATTGTTTGCAAAACATTTGTCCTTTAAGAATTAATCATTTAGACCTGGGTGTGGTGGTGCATGCCTGTGGTCAAAAGGATTACAAGTTTGAGGCCAGCCTGGGTTGCATAGCTGGTCTGAGGTCAGCCTAGGCTACCTAGTGAAACCCTGTCTCAGAAAACGAAACAATTGATTATTTAGGAAGTCTTCTCCAATAGCTTCTAACTCCATCTGTCCATCCATCCATCTATCATCCATCCAATATCTACTGGATATTACATATGTTCTAAGAACTGAGCCTGGGTACAAGACAGGCAAAGTACTTCCTTCTACAGAGGTAGGGATTATATTGCAAAGGTATATTAATTTTGTCTTTCCTTGTTAAAGGTAAAATCTTTGAAGGAAGTAGCTCTGATGTGTTCATCTTTGAATATTTGATGCTTTGAACATATACTTTCTCAATTAAGTAAGGAAAGTTGGTTAACCAATTATTTAACTAAGTCTACCAGCTTAACACATCTATCAAACATAAGTAAGTAAATAAACAAATAAATGAGGAAGGAAGCCTGAGTACAAAGAGTACTCATTCTTACTGACTCCCTGCTGACCTCCTGGGTTTTTTGTTGTTGTCGCTCTAAATGCTCATAAATCAAGCCTAGAGCCGATTGAACCTGCTCTATGGTTTTGATTTTCCACATCTCAAATTAGGTGTAGCAGAAAACTCACCCATGTCTTTGCTTACCCACCCTAGTAAAGAGGACCTTGCTTAGCAACATGGTGGTCATTTCCAACCTCAGAGCAAACCCTAAGAGGGCAAAATTCATTCCTCTTTGCACTTTTGCAAACCCCACTTTCTCTCGGCCCAGTTTGCAGATGCTATGAGAGGCAGAGACGAGGAGAAGGGCAAAGTGTGAGAAGGGTCAGAGGTGGTCCTGAGGGTGGGACCATGATGGCGTTAGTGACTTTATACGAAGAGGAAGAGGGGCCTGAGCCAGCACACTCGCTCTGTCTCGCCATGTGATGCCTCTGCCGTGTTCTGGTGCAGCAAAGAGGCCCTTACCAGACATTAATTAGTCTGTGCTCTTAGCTTCAGTAGCCCCTAGAACTGTAGGCCAAATAAACTTCTATTCTCTATAAATTACCCAGTTTTAGGTATTTTCTTCTGACCACAGCAAACAGACTCAAACACCCATGATGTGCGCTCCTGCAGCCTGCACTTCTCCCTCATAGTACTCATGATGCTTATAACAATTCATTTGCACAATTTCTTATTATTGGTCCTTTTTGTCTGACTCTGGGCTCCAGGAGGACAGGGACAGTATCTCGAACACTGGTGGGTCGCCAGTGTCTAGAACATAAGAAGCACTCAGAAAATATTGCCGAGTGGCCAAATGCTGGGCGAATGTCCAAGCCCCTAATGCCCACCGTGCTCCTTCATAGCCCATTCAAAGCCGTTTGCAACTATGAGTTTTGTGCCCTCCAACTCACTTTCACCGGGAAAGATACAACTTTCTTCTCCTCTGTTTAGAATTGTTCAAGTTTCTAAAGGCAGATTTCCTCAGTGTGTCACCTCTTGTGACCGGTGAAAATACGGATCCTTGGACACATCTCCCAGAGATTCTTCTTTAGCAGATTTGAACCTGATGACCAACTGCTCTGGATGACAAGTTTGTGAGGGATGAAGGGTGGGAAGTTTAATGTGGGACATTAAGTTTGGATGGAAATAAAGGAGTGAATGGATAGTCCACAGAGAGATTGTTCATTTTCCACCCACAAACAGGTAAAAAAAATGCCCCTAAGAAGAAATATGAAGTAAAAACATAATAGACACTATTTTTTTCTTGAAAGGTTAGCAAAGACTAAAAGTTGAATAATCAACAATGTTGGTTGGAATCTGCAGCCCAATGTGCTTCTATGAATAGGTTTGAATGTTTTCAGCGCTGAATGAGGTCAGAGAAGTTGAAAAACGGGAGGAGAAGGGATTCTTGATAAATGAAGTAAAACAGATGGAAGTGTGTTGAACTACATAGACCACTGGCAACCAGCAACTTTCTATCAACCTTCAAGTAGTTGTTCGCATGGCTCCTAGGCCTCTATGCACTCCAGAAAGGCAAATGTTAATCTTCTCGGTTTATATTACTGACAAATATATAATTGATGCTTTCCTTCCACCATGGTTCCATAAATGCTGTCATCTTCTTTTTTTGGGGGGGGGAATAAGGAAGATGTTTTTAAATTTTTTCCCCAAATGACATCCTATCTTTGTTCATCCACACAGAAGATATCAAGATAACCTTTAATGTAACTACTGGCATGACCCTTGGGGAACCATTGGAAAATACAGAACCATGCTCTCTTTGAAACACACATCCTTTTCCTAAGCTGCACCTCATTGGTAATTATTGGAAAAAACCCAAACAAACCCGGTCCCCCTATGCAAGCCTGTACAGTGAGTATTCTCTTACCAGATGCATTCCTATGGAGGTCGACATTGCCGTCTCAATCTCTGTGCCCACATCTTCAATGAAGGGATACTCATTCTGCTGGTGAATAAGCACCTTTGCCCCAGTGGAGGACACCAGGAAGGGGTTGTACTCCTCTTCATCAATGTACAAGATGACTTGCAGCCCTGGAGGATGAGGCAGCCCGATGTGGCCAAAGGCCAGAAAAGCATCCCCTGAGGGTGACCCACCCCTTCCAGTGCTTTGGGACACTGAAACCAAGGCCCAGGCATTTCTAACAAGTGAAGGGTGGATGGGGACTGGAAGCTTCATGAGGGTAGGGGTTATGCCTGACTTGCTCCCAGCTGCGCTCCAGGGCTTAGTCCAAAATAGGGGTCCAAACATAGCATCCAAGTCGCAGTTCTTGCTAAACATAAAGGAACTGCTGCTCTGCCTGAGACACAAATCTATGTGGTTCTTTGTGACAGGAAGTTCTGCTGAGCCTCCAAAAAGGCTGTGGAGCTGGTGGTGCTTAAAGTCTCAGGGAGAGCACCCAGGGAGGAAATGAAGCTCGTGCGGCATACGTGGTTCCTGAGCTCACTTCTCTCCTTGTTTCTGGTCTTGCCCTCTGCAATCTGTTCCGCACCCCGAAGCCAGGGGGCCTTTGAAGACTGGAAATCAGGTTGGGTCACTCCCTGGCCTGAACCCTTCAGTGGAATCAATCTGGCCACAAGTGTCAAGGCCAGGATGGTGCAGCCCGTGCTAGTCTCTCCTCTCATCTCCCGCTACTCTTCTCATTCCTCTATCAGCTCCAAGCACACTGGCCTTCCTCCTGTTTCTAGAACACAGCACATTCACTTTCTTCTTGGTGCCTTTGGTCTTGTGTGGGTCTTAACATGGATCGTCTTATCCTTAATTAGCTCCTTGAATGAAGTCTTTCTGTATCTTCTTGTCTCGACTCAAGCCCCATCCTGACCCAGCCACTTTGCTTTCCTCTTCGTTGCTTTCTTCTCCTTGCACAGCTCATGAGGACTTGTAACTAGACAATGTCTATGTACAGTATGTGTTTGCTCATGTAAGGGTCTCTGTCCACTGAAATGTAAGCTCTCTAAAAGTGGAGATGGCATCTGGCTTGTTCACTGGTTTGTCCCTAGCATACGGCAGATACTCAGTACACGTTCGGTAAGCTAGACATGGTGGTACATGATGGTGACCTCAGCTACTAGAGAGGCTGAGGCAGGAGGAGCACAAGTTTGAGCCCCGCCTGGGCAACTTAATGAGAACCTGCCTCAGAATAAAATAAAAAGGGCTGGAGGCGTAACTCAGCGGCAGAGCATTCCTGGGTTCAATCGGAACTTAGGTGCTATTCTGACATCCTCAATCTGTAAACGAAGGAACTGAAGCTCGGAGGGGGACAGTGATTTGGCAGAGGACACACAGCTCTGTGTAGCAAAGCCAGAACTCTGTACCCCTTCACTTTTTGTTCCTAGGCAACTTTTCCCACTGAAGTGTTCACCCTGAATTGTGCTTTCTTGCAGTCTTGGGAGGAACACAGGCTACCCGGTGATCAAGTCTAGGACCCCAAATGTGGATCTCCTCAAGGACAAAGCCTTGTCTTTCCTGATGGGAGCATCTCTATACATCAAATCATGTTCAGTTTGGATAAGACCTTTCGACATTCCTTTTGTGAGCAAGCCAGGCCAACCTGTTGACTTCCTACCATCCCTACAAAAGTAGGATTAGAGTGGTAGTGGTAGTAACACTGGAATAGTAATGATATAGGTGGTGGTAGCAGCAGCAGGAACACTAGGGAGCTAGCAGCAGCAGTAGTAGTAATGCTACAACAATAGTAGCAATGACAACAGCTGGCATTTATTCTGTGCCTGGTGTGTACCGCTGAATTATGCTCCTCCCGCTATTCACACATGGATGTCCTAGCCACCAATGTGATGGCATCTGGAGATAGGATCTTAATTAAGGTTAAAAGAGACTTTAAGGGTGAGGCTCTAGTTTGTCAGGATTGGTGTCATTATGAAGAGAGCGACTCCACGGCACTCTTTCTCCACTTGCAGTACAGAAAAGGCCAGGGGAGGACACAGAGGACAGCCATCTGCAACCCGAGGAATAGAAGTCTCACCAGAAACCAAAACTGCCAGCACCTTGACCTTGAACTTCCCAGGCTCCAGAATTGCGAGAAGTAAATGTTTGTTGTTTAAGTCACCCAGGCTATAGGAGTTTGTTAGGGTAGCCCATGTGTACTAACAGTGAATGCCAGGTCTTATTCTAAGTCAGTGATTAGAGATTCTAAGTCTTTTAGAGACCAAGTGCCCAAACTGCAAGCCAAAACCCACTTATCTATCACAAAGTGCCAACACTGCAATTAAACCTGAATGCCGAGGTTTTAGTTTAGAAAAAACAACTCACACGTTAGCATCTTTTGTCTTAAAAGAAAGACAAAGAACACGTGTGGCGGAGGCTCGCCACCTCTGTTCTAAGTGCTCTGGCTATGAAAGTCTTCCCAGTCATCTGTATGGGACATAGTATTACTACTCTCACCTTTCAGATGAAGGGCAGTAACTTGTCCAAGGTCACACAGCAAAGGCAGAGCTGGATTTTGGCTCCAGAATCTGTCATCTTAACTGAGACAAAGGTGTGTCTACCTTCCTAACTTCCTCTTCAGCACCTTTGGGTTGAACTGTTTAGGAGCCACTTGCCCAGCATTACTCACCCCAGCTACAAGCTTAAACCAAGGAGGTTTCTCAGCAGGAGAAACCAGTGATGTCCCTGAGCCTCTCAAATGTAAAAAAGAAAAGTCAAAAAGGAAAAACAAGACACTCATACCAAAAAAAGGAACCAACAAGGTAAGCTTCTGGTTTGGGGCCAGGTGGAGAGGTTTGCATTTCTTTCCTTTTTTGCCCCCTGGTTCTGAGGAATTGAACCCCAGGCTTTTACACTGAACTACACCCCTCCGCCTTTTTCATTATTTTATTTTGAGACGGGATTTTGCTAAATTCCTCAGGCAGGAGTCCAACTTGCTAGCCTCTTGCCTCAGCCTCCTAAAGAGCTGGGATGACAGACATGGGCCTGGCTAGATTTGTTTCTGGGAAGCACAAGCATCCCCAATTGTCCTGCTGCCACTATGCTTGCTGTTAGAGAGCCCTAGTTCCTCCTCAGGGTGGGTTTCCTTACCGTACTCACTGCCCCCCATGGAGGTGCTGAGCGTGGTCTCGTTTTCTCTGTTGTTGAACGTGTAGCAGTTTCCATACATGGGATGGTGGAAAAGCGTGAAGTTCCTATTGGGGAAGGACTTGGGTCAGAAAGGGCTGGGCTGGGAGCTCCCTCACACATCTCAGCTGAAGTCTAGAAGGGCAGTGCTCATGGGCCGACTCTCTTTGGGGACAATGAATGACAGGCATGACTCACTTTCTCTATTTTTCCTCTGAGAGAATGGCAAACAAAACCTGCCCGTCAGGCTGTCAAGCATCGATGTAGAATTCATCTGTGCTTTCTGTCCTTGCTCTTCACCCCCTCAACATTGTCTCCATTTGGCATTCCTTGGGCCACACGTCTCACTTCAAATTCTTCTACTCTTAAATTTCTCAGCCAGCACTCACCATTTTTTTAAATTCAAATTCCCAGTTTTAAGAAATGATCCTCAGAGGGAGAATTCCTTCATCGGTGACCTTATATGACTTTAGAACCTCAGATTCCAGGCTCTCAATTTTTGCAAGGACAAATGTATTAACTAATGTTTACAAAGGAAGTAAGGGTTGGTGTTGGAAAAGAACAAAGTAACCCCTTCACACAAGCAGGATCCCCTTAAAATATCCCACCTGCTGCCCAGACACCACCAGGGCTGAGGGCTATCTTAAAGGTGGAAAAATCTGAAGGCCCATATATGTGGCCATGGGCCTTTCTTCTTCCCTTCCTCCCTTTCTTCCTTCCTTCCTCTGCACCAGAATAGCAATCCTCCATCATCGGCGTGCAGCATTGTAATAGGTTATATGTGCACTACCAATTACTGTGTATCCTGACGAGTAATGAATGAGTTTGAAAATACTGTAATTTTACACTCCACTCGCTGACCCTAGAGCTAGCTTCCATGGGGGTGGTTCCAGAAGACAGAGAACGAGAAGACCACTGCCTGCTCCCAAGACCTAGAGCCAAGCTGCAGATCCCTGCCAGGGGCCTGGCACTCTGAGCTGCCAGTCTTCAGAAGCCCAGAGTGCAGCCTTCCTCTCCTGACCTGGGATTGCAGGACATCCCGTCAAAGAAACAGGTAACCAGCAGCTCCTCGGCAGAATAGCTCATGTTGATTTTCTTCTCCAGAGGCACCTGGGCCATGATGTTCATGTAGTGCAGCTTGTACCACTCCTGGATGGCATTGACCCCCGAGCTGAAGGTGTACGTGGCACAGTTGGTGGTGTCGTTGGAGGGACACTGTGAACAAGAGGAGATACAAGCTGAAACCCTCAGTCGTACCACCACCCTTTGGAAGGACTGAAAGGGTGCACAATGTGAGACCTCAGGCCGGGGATGCGGGGGAACAGGAAGGAAATGTGTAGCATAGGTAGGTCTCCTCTGACTTTCGGGGCTGGAGAGGTTATTCTCAAGCTTTGAGGATAAAAAAGGAACTGAAGGAGGGACAGAGTCCCACACCTCTGACTCCCTCTATGGTCCTGAGTCCACCAGGTGAGACACAAAACTGGCTTCTTTGGGGTCCCCAAACATCCACAGTTTAGCTGATTTAATGCCACTCAGTTCCTACACAACCTTTCTCATTTCCTGTTATATAAATAGTCTTGAAAGAGGGATTCCAGTCCAGACTCAGACCCTACTTCTCTGTAGGACCTTGGCAGGGCACTATGTAGTATCCATTCAATCACTTATAAAATGCAGCTGAAATATCATCCTGACCAATCATATGCAGTCATGGGGAGGATGCACATTGGAAATGCATAATACTAGGATCTTTATCAGGAAGTTGTGATACAGTCCAGATGTTCTCATCACCCAGGGCTTAGAACCTGACCTGAAAATATGGGCATCAAAAAAATTGATTTTGATATCAGGGACCTAGGAAGACTGAAGTTTCAATGATGTTGAGAAGGTTCATCTTTTAGGATTGGGGACCAATAGCCATTTGTGACTTATAGCAATCAAGACCATAAGGTATAGAAGTAGCTCTGGTCCTCTAGGGGGAGCTGGGGCATGAAGAGGTAGAGTGGTCGGGCCGGGGATTTAGCTCAGTGGTTTGGCCGTCTGCTGTGCAAGCGCAAGGACCGGAGTTCAATCCCCGGTACCCTGAAAAAAATAAAAAGAGGTAGAGTGGTGACAGAGTTTGCTCAGGGACATAACAGAATTCATTTTTAATAATTGGCTACTTCCCCAAAGCCCCTCAAAGGGGACCAAAGAAGGAGGTGAGAAGCCAGGTTGCAGGATCTCATAAAGGGAAATACTACAGAGAGCATCGGCATTCTTGCTGTTGATAGTCTGTTTCTTCCTCCTGGTGTCTGCACCCCTATTTTTCTTGGAGGAATTTTCTTTTGCCTTTTGGATACAGTCTGCTGGTATTGTCCATGATGATCACCCCGTGAGCCAAGGGGTGATCAGGTACCTGAGCTTGGCCAACCAGATAGTCACAAGATGGAACTGGAATCTTGTTTTTTGGAGGCAAGATCTTGCTATGTAGTTCAGGCTGGAGTTGAACTCACTATGGAGCCTCAGCTTGCCTCAAACTCATGGCAAGCCTCCTGCCTCAGCCCCCCAAGTCACAGGCTTGTGCCACTATGCCCAGTTTCAGAATTTGAATCTTAAGCATTAACAAAAAGACTGAAAATAGCTCCTTTCATCCAGCAGCAGTATCTGAGAAGACTCCATCCTTTCTGGCCACCTCAATGCCTAGATCTTCCCTCGTTTTTGTCCTTTGAGAGTTCTATGAACTACTGGTCAGCTCCTACAACATTTTCCCCATGCTTAAAGTTTGCTGAGTAAGTTTCGATTGTTTGTAGCCGAATAGCTCTAACTGGGTGTATTTCTTCCAGGTGGTTCACAGGAGCAAATGGCCACAGAAGAGAGATCTAGGGCCCCATCCCCAGCCCATCCCATACCTCTAACTTGCAAGGAAGTGACTCTTACCAGCTGGAATCCCACTGTTTTCTTAGACTCGTGGATGTGCATGACATTGGACGCCTTGTGAATGATGTTCCCACTGACTTTGCGCTTCCGGCCAGTGAAGAAATCCCTGGCCTTGCCCTTCTCCTTCTCATTGAAGACCAGCAGTGGGATCACGTTGAGGAATTTGGGCCGGATGCCTCCCCAGGCTGGATTCTCAGACTCTGCCCCACGGCGTTTGCGAGACTTAACCTCTGAAAAGCCATACAGGGTCTTCAGCGCCCCTCTGGTCTCCTGATCCAAGTCAGCCAGAAGGTCTCGTACAGCACTATACCTGCCAGTGTGGGAGGGAAGGGTTATAGCGGGACAAGACTGCTCTGCCCAAATGCTTCCAGTTCTGCACATTGTTTTCCATCAAGTGTGTCACCCGGTGCTCACTGTCCACCCTCTTGACCAAGGGGACCAGGCCTTTCGTGACTTGCCCCATCCAGAGTGACTGCTGGCTCCTTCGAAAGGAGAAGGCTCCTGGGAGAGCCCTGTGTGACATCTTACAGCTTCACCTCTGCTATCCCTGTCTGCTCACTCCCAGGTGTGTTGATGAGTTTGCCCAGGCCGGCATTTCTGGAGTGGTGACTGTCAGGTGCTTCCCATAAACCGGCCACCGTAAGGACACATAAATAACTGCTAACCAGCAGTGTCCCCAGGGGGCAGGCTCTGTCTCTGCCCAACACACGCTGCTTCTGCCCGCTGGGTGTCCACCAGCCAGTACTGGGAAGAAAGAATAAATGGCCATTCCCTTGACAGCGTACAGGAACGTGTAAGAATGGTACAGAGTAGACTCTGTGAAGCATAATGAGACCATTTAAAAAAAATAATTCACAATACCCAAAGGCCCCAGGCTCCTCCCTGACTCTCCTCTCTCACTTCTCTCCTGCTCCATGCATAGCAACAGTGTCGAGGGTGCAAGGGTCCAAGTTGCAGAGCCCACCTGGTACTGGCAGTGTGAACTTGAACAAGCCACTTAGCGTTTTGGTGTCTCAGGTTCCTCAGGTTATTGGGGAAGTTCAAAGACTTTCTTATATATCCAAAAAACACACCCCTGTGCATAATGTGTAATTAAATGGTCACTATTTTCAATTATGGTAGTGTAATTCTCTCTGCTAGTAGTTTACTCTTCCACCACAGTTTAAGCTCACTAGTGCAAAGAATGTGTGTGGGCTGTTTAGTTCTAAGCTCCAGAATCTAGCACAGTGCCCGGCAATTGATAGATGCGGAGTAGATGGTGGTGGAACAAATGATAGATGAATGAAGGAGGGAAAGAAGAAGGGAGGAAGACAAGAAAGACTTAGAGAATGAGTTAGACCTGATTGTGATTTTGAGCTTTGCCACCAACTCATCGATGACTTGGGACAAATTAGCGCCCCTTGATAATCTTCTTCCTCCTGTATTTCCTTTCTCCTCACCCTCACTCCTGCTCTGACATATTCTGTTGATTTCCAACCTGCCTCAGCAATCAGCTTTTCACAATTCTGAGCACTCTGATGACCCAGTTAGAACAGGTCCTGCGACCGATGATAGGGCAGCACTGAGGGCTGGTCCAGCCCAGAGCCCAGTGAGCTCAATTAGTGGAACTGGGCTGACTCAGGCGAGGATTCAGAGCAGTGGAAATGCTCCGGAAGTCACCTGGGCGTCACTTCTAAGTCAGCTGGCGCGCACGTTCTGGGGAGTGTGAGGGTGTGAGCTTCGAATGCTGGGAGCAATGGCTGAACTGGGCTTAGTGTGTGCATCTGTGAAGGGCAGAGAGGGCGGATGGATTCCAGTCCCAGCTCCCCACACAGCTGCTCCTTGCAGGCTCCCCTCCTGCCTTCCCTGTGCCGGCCCATCCCCGGAAGTAGCTGATGGACTAAAAATCTTGGCATAGATTTGGAGCCTGAGAGAGGGCAGTTCACCAGTATTGGCGGTGAATTCAAATTCCTAAAATGCATGTCTGCAGACTGGCGTGGGCTCGCAGGCTGTTCGTGTTTCACAGGGGCTTTGGCATCTAGGGAAGGCAGAGCTCTCCTCCCAGGTCCCCAGGTCCCTGCTTCTGTCCCTTACTTGTAGGGGTTGATATTGCAGATGGTGACCGCAGGAAAATCTAGCTTCTGGAAGTGGACTTTGATGGAGACAGAGACGGTGTAGAAGGAGAAGACGAGCAGGGCGCACTGCCAGATAATGAGGGCCACCGCGGTCAGCGTGCACAGGATCCAGAGCAGGCGCCGGAGGCGGCCGCGGGACACCACAATGCGGCGGCACCCGTGGGTGTTGGTGTTCATGCAGTACCAGTGCATCAGGTCCTTGATGGTGGGCGCCTGCGGGCCTCTCACCGGCAGATTCTTCTTGATTTTGGCTTTGATCTTCTCTCCAGGAGCCATGGCCGAGGTGAAGCTTTGCTGCAGGGAGGGAGGGGAAAGGCAGGTGAGTGTGGACCTCCTTCCTCTCTCCCCTGTGGCTGGCTGGGTTGCATTCTGAGGCCTTGGCCCTTTCTCCGGGATATTTGTTTTGGGCCACCGCAGCTGCCAAAGAGGCTGCCTGCTCCTCTTACCACCCCCTGGCCGAGCCTTGTGGGGCTGGGTGAGGCGAAAAGCCGCGAAGACCGACTGGACTGGCTGAAGGACCTTTGCCCTGGTCCCTGGGCAGGAGCCCTGCCAGTGACCCGGTGGGCACTGCCACTCGCCCACTCCCTGAGGGCACCGTTTTGATCTCACGATGCCCCCTGGTGCCTGGTACGGTGCGTGACACAGCGGACGCGCTCAGCTAGGTGTCACTGACTTGAAATCTGCCAGGAGAATTTCCTGGCAGCAGCCTGAGATCAGGTTCCGGGCTGGATTGGCCCCAGCCCTTCTCTCTGCTGTTTTCTTCCAAGAGGAATCATTTCTATTTCATTTCTTCGCTTTATGGTCAAGCTCTTAGTGCTTCTTGAGCACCTGATGTAACAATATCCTAAGACTGTGGCCGCTTAATATTTGCCAAGCTGTGCTCCATATCCTTGATTTTAAGATATCATAAATTTGGAGAACACACCTTGATTTAGTGACAGCTTTCAGGGAAAGTATTAGAAAACAAATGACACGTTCGTCGATGTGCAGGGTGCATCTCAGTTACAGAAATCTTGCAGTATGAAATAAACTTCATTTTAGAAATGAACTAATACTGTACAGTGCATGTATAGACTCGTGTTTATAATATATAGTCTCATCAGTCTCAAATATATGCATCAGTCTCAATGCTCTATATAAATATATACCTAGTCTCTATATATTTCATTTCGTGTTTCAGAAATTCCGAGATGTAGGCACACTGTTATTATCTCCTGTTACAGAGGAGGAAAATGAGCTCAGAGAGGTAGAGTGACCTATGCAAGATCACATAGCCGGTGAGTGGGGGAGCTGGACTGGACGCCTGCAGCCGTGGCCACTGTGGTATTTGTCCCTGAGGGGACCAATAGTGGGCTGGAGCTACCACCCTCTCCCATTAAAGCAAGCAGTTGATTAGTAACATCTGGGATTACACTTGGGAGGAAAAAGGAAGGACTTTATCCTATTTAATTTCCAAACTCTGGGTAGTGCAGGTGACTGTTTCCTAAGGCTTGTGAGCTCCAGTATCAGCAGCCGGGGTACATGAAGACTGTTGTATATGCCTCCCAATTTCACAAAGGAAAACCAGGACGTCTGATTTGGAGCAGGGGATACAGAGCAACCCCTATGTCCTCCGAGGGCTTGTGTCTGCAACAAGGACACCGAGTGCCCTGTTAATTCTTTCAGCAGGCCTCTAGACCTGTGGAATTACTTTTTCTCCACCCAGAACCCCTGAGATACGGCCCCAAACTGGGAGCTAGAGGTCTTTCAAGGTTATGACACAAGTTGGTTTGTGGCAAATAAAAGAGTACTGGGGAGAGGGAGGAGGCAGCCAAATGACTCTAAACTCCACAGACCTTTGTGATTTATTTTGCTGGGAGGAAGAAAATCATCTCTGATCCTCAAAATTATGCAATTATCCTCTTGGCAAGAGGAATGTAATTTGTTTTATTTCATCATTTTAAATACTGCTCATCTCCACTGCTTCCTTTACAACAATTTACCCCCCAAAAGCAAGAGTTTGTTTTTTAAACTTAGGTCTAGGTTCGATTCCTTGTCAAATACAACTGCAGCCCACGGACGGTTTCCTCCTCTGGGAATGCTCGCCAGAAGCATGATTCTGGACACCCTTGTCCGACTCTGTCTTCTCACTGGAGACAGGTCCCTCTGTCCACTGTCCCTTCCCCAGGACTCCCCCCATCCGAGCGGGTCAGGTAGCAAAGTCAGAGGAGTCCTGGAAACACTCACACAGACAATACTTCAACTTCAGAGCAGAACAAGGTTGCAGCTACTACGAGGTTCTGCACCCGATTCAATATCATGCCTGTGTGGAAGGACTGGTAGCCAGTGCAGAGCACTCACTCTTGTACGTCCTTCCTAGGCATTACCTCATTTAATTTTCACAGCAGTCTTCCGAGGTAGGCATCAGAATTTCTCCCATTATACAAATGAAACGGATTCTGAGAGGTTAAGTAGCCACCCGAGGACACAGTAAAAAGCGGCTGAGCTGGGATTTGGCACTTTTTCTGCTAGCTATGCTTTTCTTCAAATAACGATAGTGACACTGACCAAGCGGCACGAGCAGCAGCTGTTATTATTAGCTGATCCAGGGACCTGTGTCTAGGCCTCCCGTCGGTCCTCTTTACACATTACCCAGTTTCGCGACACATTTATACTATTCGCCTTTCACTGAGGAGCAAACTGAGGAGCAAACTGAGGAGCAGAGGGGTTAGCGATTTGCTCCAGCCCACAGTAGGAGGATTCTGACTCCGGAGCCCCCGGGCTCTGGATGGCGCGCTCCTTACCTGCCCGACCTTGCTGGCTCCCTGGACCGCAGTGAGGGAACGTGGAGCTCGGGGGAGGCGAACGGTTTGCGCCAGGTCTAGGGCGGGTGGACGGGGAGTCCGGCCCGGCGCGGGGTCCTGCGGCCGCGCTGCGCAGAAGTCGCTGGAGCCCGGGCTCCCGGTGCACCAGAGAAACCCGGCCCGGCCGCCCAGAGTGGAACCGCCGGCGCTGGCCCCCGCTCGGCTCGGGCAGCCGCTTCTCCCCGAAGCGGAGGAGTTGCACCCGGGCCCCGGGAAGGTGCCCACACTCCCGATCGGCCGACCCCACCCTGCCGGGCGCACCTGTCAGTTGCGCGGGGTCCGGGCTCGCGTGCACACGACCCGGGCGCTCTACTCCTCTCACCACGCAAGCATCTCCCGGCCCAAGGCCAAGGGCTCTTGTGGTCCGGACCCGGGCCCCGCCCCAGGAACCTGCCCCCTGCAGGCCCGCCCCTACCTGCCCAGGTGCGCTCCCCAGGCCGCCGCCACAGGGGTGGGCCACGGGCCAGCAGCGCCCCCTGCCGTCCCGAGGCGGCTCTGCGCCCCAGCCGGGCCGGCGCCTGCTGCCTCCCTGAGGCCAACGAGCGCCCTGCAGCCCCAGCCCCTGCCCGGCGGGCGGCCGGTGTGGAGACTCCGGGTTTCCAGCTTCCAGGAGGCGCGTCTGTTGCTGGCTCAAGAAAACTGACTAGCCAGAGAGCTGCCCAGCTGGGTGGAAACGGAGGCATAATGGAAAGGCAATTTAGAGAAGGTTCTCAAAAAACAAAAACAAAACAAAACAACCCCCCCCCCCAACTCCGCAATTTTTTCTTACAGTACATATTCACTGTGAAGAGTAAGGATGATGATCAGCGTCTCCCACTAAATTAGCACACTTAACGGTAAGGTATTATTTGGTGTGTTTCCACCCATGCATGTTAGTTAATACTGCATACATATGTGTCTGTGTACTTATGATGGACTTTTGAAGTACATACTTAAATTTCTTAAGTTTGTTTTAATGACGATAATCATATTCTCATTGTCAAATGGGGCCAGCTTGGTTTTTTTTTTTTTTTAAGCTCATGATATATATGGTGTAATTTTTAAAAACACACAATGTTAAACTTTTTAAAAAAATTTATTACAGTAAAAGATATATTGCCATCACCCCCTTAAAATATTCCTCTTCCCTTTGGACACACGTATCCCATCATTCCTGTCACTTTCTGAAGCGGTTTACAGTTTATGTTTAAGAGAATCTCTGGCAAATAAAAACACTACTGTGCGTCCTCATTCAACTTATTTACCTTATTTACTAGATTTGGCACCTGTGACTTCTGACTCTTCCTCAAAGTCAAAATGAACATGAAAGGTAAAGGTCTTGAATCAATTTGGAACATCGAGGTAACCATGGTGGCACAAGTAAAGACATTCATGAAAGAGGACTTCCAGAGCTGCTTCAGAAAGTGACAAGGATCGGGATAAGTGTGTTCAAAGCAAGGAGGAGGATTCTGAGGGGGATTAATGGCAAGGTGTCTTTCACTGTAATAATTCTTAACAATTTAAATATGCTTATAGTTTTTGATCACACCTTATATTACAGGCAACTTTCCTTGCCAATATGTAGGTTTACTTAAGTATTGCATTAACATAATATATTTAATCAATTTTTTATGCAAGCTGGGCATGGTGGCTTGCATAAACCAGACCTGTATTCCCGACACACAGGAGGCTGAGGCAGGAGGATCACAAATTTGAGCCCAGCCTGGGCAACTTAGTGACTTAGTGAGATCCTGTCTCAAAACAAAAAATAAAAATAAAAGGGCTCAAATGCAAAGTCCCCGGGTTCAATCCTCAGTACAGAGTAAGTGTGTGTGTGTATTGTCTAAAAATGTTCACTAATATAAAGTAAATTGTTCTCTGTCTAAAATCTTCATGTACATATCTAATTATTTCATTGGGATAAATTCCTACTAGTGAGACTTTTTTCTGTTGATGTATTTTCTCACTTTAACCAGCAAAACACAAAGGACAGTTAAAAGAGCAGGTTACAAACAGTATATAGATGGGAATAATAATAAAGTATATTGTATATAAAACTACCTCTCTCTCTCCATATATATATTAAAAATATATATTATGTATTTAAAATATATACTTACATATATTTAAAAAGAGGTTATCTTGGGATAGGTTTACATATAAATTTTTTTTACTGGCCTGTGTTATTTTGTTTTGTGTTTTGTTTTGTTGAAAGATGTATAGGCTCTATGTCATAAAAATAAGAATGTTTTTGGGAGATGGTAAACTTGTTGAAGTCAGGACTAAACTTTGAAATCACACCTATGTCACTTTCTTTTTTATATCACTTTCTTTTTTAAAAATCAAATTAAAACTTACATACAGTGAGATGTACAGATCTTAAGAGTGCAGTCAAAGTTTTGGTAAATGTATATATTTATGTGGTCATCCCCATAATAAGCCTATTGTTATGGCTGCATCTAGCTGTCCCCCTAAAGCCTCATGTGGTCATAGGTGGAGGTTTTGAGAGGTGGCTAGATCTAGAGTGTGTGATGCTGGGATTAGGGGTGTGTGATCACTAAATAATTTTTATGAGGCTTTATTGTCTTGCATGGGGTATTTTCCTACACCTTAAACACCATGACTAGAATAATGAAGTTGATTGATATCTTGCTCAATTTTTTGCTGCTATAAAAAGTAACACAGCCTGAGTAATTAATATAGAAAATAAACTTATTTCTCACAGTTCTGGAGGCTTGGAAGTCTGATGTGAAAGAGTTGGCATCTAGGGAGGGCTTATTGGTTCATCATCTCATTGAAGAAGAGTAAAGAAAGGGCAAAAGAGAGCAAGAGATCAAACTCCTAGCTGCAAGTCCTTTTATATCAGCCTTCATCCACTTAGGAAGTCAGAACCTAATCACCTCTTAAAGCCTCATTTCTTAGCACTCTCATCTTGGGAATTGCGTTTTTAACACACACTTTTCTGGGACACCATAGCAATAGGCGTGGGTTTGGAGTACATGTTCAACTCTGGATAGTGTTAGCTTCACTTTAAACACATGGTCTGAGAATAGGGAAGGCATGGTCCCCACAGCAAAATCATATTCTGGGTTGGAAAAACATATAACTTTTATAATTTTCCCGCTTTTGCCTTCTTTGGCACTTGCAACTGATAACTGCCTCAGTGAAACACTCGCTTCTCTTGGCTTCTCTGGTACCTCACTTTCTGTAAAGTTTTCTTGCACTCATTAAAATTTTTGTAGTGCTTCCGTAGAGTTCTAGGTTTTAGGGACTCAGGAAACTAGTTATGAGAGACAGCAGGAGATCTAAAATCTAGAGAATCAGAGGAGACCTAAAGAAACCCAAGAAGGCTTAGTTACAGCAAAACAAAGGCTTGAGCCCAAGAGTAGGAACCTAGTGGGAGAATAGCCAAATTTGACTCTTTCCAGGATTCCTGCAGCTCCGGAGCGAGTTTCCTTCAGTTCTTGCGGATATTACTCTAGCTCCCCCAAGATGACATGAAGGCTGTCTATTCACATACGCTCACTGTCTCAGTTCCCTTTTGGGGACTTCCTATCCTGGGCCAAGGGTCTTTAGATTCTCTTGTGGGAATTTCGTAATCACTTTTCGGCAATGATTACACTTCTCTCGCAGGCAGCTGGATTTCGAGGATCAGCACCGCGGACAGCAGCCACAGAGCTGAGGTTTCTCCCGTGTGGGAGATGATGATGGGATCTTTATCTTCCACAAAATGCCATTCCCAATTTGCAGGTAGATTCAGTGAGAAGCATGAAAGATTGCGAGGGAAATCTTCCAGCCATCCTCTTCAGTCAATATGGATGAGAGAGATGGCTATAGATTGGCCTTAGAACTAGAAATGTGCAGTCAATTCTTGCCATCTATGATATTTATAGATAAAGTTGCCACAAACACGGAATTGGCCAATACTGGGTGATTGTTCCTAGGGCAAATATAGAGTTAGGTGTGCAAGAGCCTCTGGTTGGAATATTTTCATCAACTAGCCCACACCTCTGTGTGCCTATTTTAAGTGACCTCACTTAATATGAAGTTGATTTGTTAATATTGAACTCATATTCAACAGCATTATAATTCCAGTTGTATAAAGCCTATGTAACATGCATACATTTTCTCAGCACTTCAACACTATTCTTGGAGGTCATTGTAAAAACAAGCAAACAATAAAAGCAACAAACAAACAAACAACAAAGGTGGGGAAATTGTGGCACTGAAGAAGCTACAAAAAGGGATACTTGTATCAGATCTAGAACTAGACAGAGTACTCCCTTCTTTGATCTCAGCTGGGAATATTCATGTTGGACAGCTCTAATATTTTGCTGCTTTTTGTATGTCTATAAAAGCACTTCAATAATTGATGTTATAGAGTTATAAATTTTACTGGTAGATGAATTTTCAAACATTAAATTTATTATTTAAACCAATTTGAATTCATTTCTCATCTCTCAGAGTTTCCTGCAGGTCTCAGTATACAAAAGATACTGAGAGCCAAAGTCCTTAAAATACCCATAAGACCCCATGTGATTTCATTTGCTCTTCCTTTTCTTGTGTTTTAGGGTAAACAATTAGGTTATTCATTTGAGATATTTATTCTCTAATGTAGGTTTTTACAGCTATATATTTTCTTCTAATGACAACATTGACCACACATCATGTTTGATATGTTATATCTTCATTTTTAATCATCTCAGAGTATTTTTAGTAGTATCTTGCTTAATTTTCACTTATTTTTTAATTTCCCCAATTTTTCTGTGACAGACTTCCAATTTCACTTGAATGTGGTTGAAGAACATACATTTTATGACTTCAATGCTTTTAGCTTTTGGGGGGCTTGTTTTATGGCCTATTGCATGGCTTATCCAGGAGCCCTCCAGGATCTTGGACCACTCAAAGAGTTGCTATTCTAACCTCAAATCCTACTATTTGCCCCCTTGTTTATTCTTCTCCAGCCACACTGGCTTTCTTGCTACTTCTCAAATGTGTCTCACCTATTCTCATCTAAATGTGTTGGCTTTTGTGCTCCCCTCTTTCTAGCATGGTTATCCTCTTAATTTTCACCTAACTTCTTATTTCACCTCCTTCCCACATTTGGTTGAGGGTCATCTTCCCAGCACACCTATCTTGACCAGTCTATTTAAAATTTCAATGTGCCATATAAATTTTATGTTCTCCTTTCCTGCTCTGTTTTCTCCATAGCATCAATTTTCAACTAGCACACTGCATTTATTACTTGT